TTGCAACTCGAGGCTTAAATTTTTTCTTCAGTTCTTTCACCTTAGAAATACCAACCATGTTCTTCACTTTTGGTTTTCTAACTCCAGGTCTTTGCACGTTTCATTATAACAACTGACTTTGTCTTCTTGAGCTGCTCTTTGAAATGTTCTGCCTAGCTTTTTATCTTGTCATTTCTTCCATTTGCTTCAGCCACTCTCCGTTCAAGAGTAAGTTTCAGAGCCTCTATCCCATAGCAACAAAAATACAAATTATGGAAAATATAACTTCTCCCAATCATCTGAGAAAATCTTTCAAAAAAATCTAAATTGGCAAACGAAACAAAACAAATACAAGTAGATGTCAAAGGAATGCCATACAGTGCTAGATCTCTGGTTCTACATAAACAATCTTAACTTCATTGTAATTTCACAATTAATTCAACAAACTGCAGGGTAGTGACCATAAAACCCTGAGATCTAGGAATTGATTAATTTAAACCTACTTAAACCATTCAATACTACCTACATTCCATTATTTTCACCTTTCACAGAATGTAATAATAAGAATTTTGGTCTTATGCCTTGAAGCCAAATGGAGAAATGAAATAATATATGTTAAGTACCTACCCTGTGTAAGACACTGATAACTTTTACACACGGTCTCATTTAACTGCTACAGCAATTTTGTTAAAAATTATTAGTGCTATCTCCATTTTGCAGAGGGAAAAACTGAGCAAAGGGACATCAAGATCAAGTAACTTGCTAAAGATTCAAGTAACCTGCTCAAGATGGCTTAAGTCAATACTACAACATGAGTGTTTTGACAATTAATTTAGAACTATTTCCATGTCATAACCATTGCTTCCAATGGTTAAGAAATCATCCCATTCAGTGCATCCCAAACTAAGTCCCATGAAATTCCAGTGTTACTAAGAACTAATACATGTTCTGAGAAATAGGGCTTTGTCAAATTGTCAAAAGTCTGGTACAATTTGCTTCACATGAGAATTTACCAGAAATTTTATATGCACAGTGTGACTCTCCAAAAAGATAAAAAGAAACAAGAAGTGTTCTCCTAATTTATTAAACCAGGAAACACCATCACCCTCTTTTTTTTTCCTTAAGAATTCATAACATTCCCAGCAATGCTTTTGCACAGCTAAAGAGTTTGGAAAATATTTATCTAGTCCAATCTTCTCATTCTATTGTTTAATAACATGACATACAAAGAAAATAAATGACTTATTCAAGGCCACACAGAAAGTTACCAGCAGGGTTAGGGCTGGCACCAAGGTAGCGTATTGATTCCCACCAGGATGTTCTTTCCCCACATCATCCTGTCTCACTTCAACATTGTTTCTACAAACTCTGCTAAGTATTGCATCAATCACTTCTTCTAATTCTTCTGAATGGCAGCACAAAGTACCCATTCAGAGAGATGAAGATCAAAACTGTTCTACCTCCCATTTCAATAGTCTTCTAGTCTTGTGACATATTTAGATATGTGAGAAATGATTCCACTTTTAAAACTCTGAGATCATATACTTTTAGCCAAGTAGTGCTATAAGGTAGTCACATTTTTCAATGAAATGAAACAAAATTGCACCCAAGTGCTGCATATAGACACTGTCTGCATTACCCTGCACATCTTTACAAAGAGCAATTTGTTCGTTGTTTTCCCCTTATCCCCTCTCACCCTAAAATCACTTCTTCTCACTTTCCGCACACAGTCCTAGGCCAAGGATGCCATCTGGTGATTACTTCAGGAATTGTTTAGCACAAAATACCTCCACAAAACCACACTTCCCTTTCTTCCAATTCTTGCCATTTACCTCAGTAAAATTTGTTTCTTCTTTTCTGCCCTTTCTGTTCCAGGTCAATAAAAAATACTATTTTATTAACTGTTATTCTAGCTACAAAACCAAAAACCAAACATCAAGTGGGACCCGACTCACATCAACCCCTCCATGGGTTTCAGAGGCAGTTATCACTACGGAAATAGATTGCTCAACCTTCCTTCCGAGGCGTGGCTGCTGGGTTTGAACCACCAGCCTTCTGGTTAGTAGTCAAATGCCTTAGGTACTACGCCACCAGAGCTCCCATGCTAGCTACAGGAGGAAAAAAAAAAAAAACACAAGTCAAAATACACTTTAAGAAAACACACCGCAATCAGAGGTCAATAAACCAAAACCAAACCAAACTCACTGCCATCGAGTCAGATCCAACTTATAGCTGCCACTCCCTAGGTTTTGAAGCAGTATCACTACAGAAGTAGACTTTCCAACCTTCTTTTCAAGGAGTGGCTGGTGGGTGTGAACCCACAGCATCCTGGTTAGCAGTAAAATGCCTTAGGCAACTATGTCACCAGAACTCCTCAGAAGCCAGTATAGCTTCACAAATGTCCTAAGTTCCTTGCTAGAATCTCTATGCCTACATGGAATATCAGAACTGAAAAAGTCCTTGCTGATCACCACTAGGCCAACTACTTCAGTAACCAGCTGAAGAAACTGACATCCTGAAAAACAGAACAGAGTCCTTGTGGGGTGCGGTTTATGCACTTGACTGCTAATCTAAAGGCTGGCAGTCCAAGTCCACCCAGCATTGCCTCAGAACAAAGGTCAGCAGATTTATTTTCAAAAAAAAAAACAAAAAAACTCACTGCCATCAAGTCGATTAGACTCATAAGCATCCCCTCCTTGGGTTTTCGAGGCGGTATCTCTATGGAAGTAGATTGCCCAATCCTCCTTGTGAGGAGTAGCTAGTGGGTTTGAACCACCAGCCTTCTGCTTAGCAGTCAAATGCCTTGGGCACTATGCCACCAGAGTTCCCTTCAAAAACAACAGCCATTAAAGACTCTATGGAGCACAGTTCCACTTGAACACATACAGGGTCGCCATGAGTCACAACAGATTTGATGACTAGTTGTCATTATGAGAAATGAAATCATCACTTGCCCAATAGCAAACTCCCAGAGTTAATGGGATTAAGCCAGGATTAAGGCCTGGGGACCTCCTTCTCTCAATTCCAAGTCTAGTGCTCACTCCACTACACTGTATGCATCAGGCTCACCAAGCCTATTTTTTCTCAACTACCATGCAAGCAAAATATATTTCAGTGTTTTTATATTTTTCTTCATTATATTACTATCATAAATCTGAGGCAAAGTCTTCTAATTAAATCCCCTCTGTACCATACCTAACAATGTCTCCCAAAAAATACCAAACCAACTGCCATCTAGTTGATTCCAACTTATAGCTACCAGCATTGGGTTTCCAACAGCTTTAAATCTTTAAGGAAGTAGACTGCCTTATCTTCCTCCCATGAGTGGATATGAACTTCTGACCTTCTGGTTAGCAGCCAAATGCCTTACCCACTAAGCCAACAGAGCTCCTAACAATATCTAGCACACTATATTCATATTTATTGATTACTATTCTGTTGTTTACTGCACTTATTACAAATCTAGAATGTTTTCACCATATTATGGGCTGGACAGGTTTTTATCTGGTTAGAAATCTAACATTTTCTAACATTGTTTCTGGAAAAAAAATTAAAAAAATATTCTCAGTAGCCACCACACTGAGTCTTTCAGAACACCCTCCACTCAAAAATTTCGTGGTTCCCCTCTACTTGATGAACCTTTACCAGATAAGGATGGAAAAGAATACATGGAGGAAAAAACCAAAACAACTTTCATGAAGAAAATGTGGATTCTAGTACAATCATTATAATCACAAGACTTTCGGGAAACTCAGTTCCCCTAAAATACTCCTCCATCCTAAGCTACATCAGGATAAATGTAAACATTTTATAAATTGCAGGTAGCAACAGTGATTACAGGTATTATTAATAACACTGATTCCATTCCAACCCCTGTGAGTAAACACATACCAAAAAAAAAAAAAAAACACCTCACTGCCTTAGAGTAAGATCCGACTCATAGCAACCCCTCCTTGAGTCTCCATGGCAGTATCACTACAGAAGTAGATTGCCTAATCCTCCTTCCCAGGAGTAGAGGTTGGTTTTGAACCACCAACCTTCTGGTGATGGTATGTAATTCTTACAACTCTATTTGACAGATCAGAAAAAAACAAGTCTTTGCAAGAAACTTGCCCGGAAGCACAGAGCCAAAAAATAAAGAGTTTAGATCATAAAGCCTCCAGTGTGAGCAGGTGCTCTTAGCAGTTTCCAGATAATGAGAGGCACGCCCTTCAGATAAACACTACTCCTCCTCCCAGGGCTCTAAAATCAATGGGGACGAAGGCAATTCAAAAGACCTCCCCATTTTCACTTTACAGGTAATCTACACAGTGAAATCTCGACATGCAAAGAAAAATGAGTCAAGGAGATATGGGCCCTTTCGCGTCCCAGCCAGCCAGCTCTGCGCCCCAGAAGGTAACTTCGATCTCCAGATTTGTCCGTACTGGGGTAGAGCGGGTAGCTCCACTTGAGGCCCATCACCGTTCAAAGGGGCTCTTGCTCATGCATCTCATTCAGGGTACAAACTTGTGAATATAAAGTCATGTTTCTGGGAGAAAGATCCTTCATCAGAGTCCCGAAAAAGATAAAGAACCGTTAGACTAGGCATCTCCAAAGTTCTGCCTGCCTCTCCAGTTGCTGGGAGCCCTCAGAAGGCGTTTTCCGGACTGTATTCCCCTCCCCCCGCCTCTTTCCTAACTAAGCGCAGGACGGCAGCCGAGCCAGGCAAAAGGCTCAGAGGCGGAGGTGGGTCTGCGGCGTGCATTTTGCCTTCAGCTCGGAACTGCTGGAGGGCAGTCAGCCTGAGGTCAAAGCTGACAACACCTCTGCCGCGTCCCACTAATCATCTAAGCTCCACGTTTGAGGATGCAGTCCGCCCACCTCGCAGGAAGTTCCCGATGCTTGTCGTGAGCTCTGCAAGCAGGAAGAGGCGGCGACTGCGGTGGGCCGGGGATGGAGGAAGGAGGCCACAAGGGGCGGCTAGTACCACCCCCACGATGTCTCCGGCGCCCCGCGCGGCAGTACCTCCGCGAGCTACTTACTGAAAAAGAGGCGGTAATCGCTCGAGTGGGGCTGGCCGCGCTCTTCCGTACGGTACAGAGCCATGGTGCAGCGCGACCCTGGCCTTGTAAGTGGTCCCTGCAGCCGGAGTGTTGCGGCGTGGGCGCCAGCAGGGCAACCCCAACTGGTGCGCAGTAGCAGCTGCAGCGCGCGCATGGCGTGGGCTGTGGCTTGACTCCGTGCTGGGTGGTGCCTGGGGGCCAAACCCTGTTGCGCGCCGGCGCCCCCTGCTGCCGGGAATCGTCACTCTGGACCTGGAGAGTGGGTGGTGGTCACGTGGCCACCTTGGGCCTGTGTATCACACCCCGTCTCTTCTTAGTAAGCGGGAAAGTCCCAGGAGCAATTGAACACACGAATATGTGAACCATTATTTTACGCAAGGTATATTACGTGCAATCCTAAACACTTGAGCTCTTTCACTTTAGTGGGCCGGTCAAAGAGAAACAAAAAACAATGTACCTGTATATCGTTTGCAACTATGCAAGCAGTGTTCTTAGTTGCCCTAAATTCCTACCCACGGTGATCCCATGTGTGTAGAATAGAATTGCTCCACAGCGTTTTCAAGGCTGTGAGCTTTGGTAAAGAGGCATTTCTTTTGCAGCGCCTTTGGGTGAGTTTGAATTACCAGCCTTTTCATTAGTTGTCAAGCACTGAACTGTTTGGCCAAACGGGTATATTACCTAGTGTCATTGTTGAAGAACAAATGTAAGAAAAAGAAAGGAGAGATTACCTCTCTACTTGTGTTAAACAGGAAAAAGGCTTCATGAAGGAGATACATTTGAGGTTATTCCTTTTTTATTCTACAAATTGGCGTCAATCAAGTGTTTACAAGTGCTGGTGTTTTGGTTTGGTGTTTATGGTGGTGTTTTGGTTTGGTGTTTATGGTGGTGTTTTGGTGTGTGTGTACGCTTGATTCCTATGTTAGATAAAGTCCAAAGCAGTACCCAGCACAGATTAATTGCTCAAAATTATATTATTAAAATAATAAATATAATATTATGATAATAAATATTGATTCTACCACCTGTCTGTCAGTTTGTCATACTGTGATGGCTTGTAGGATTGCTGCTATGCTGAAAACTGAGCTACTGCTATTTCAAATACCAGCAGGGTCACCCATGGTGGATAGGTTTTAGAGGAACTTTCCAACTAAGACAGACTAAAAGAACGACCTAGTGATCTAATTCTGAAAATCAGCCAATGAAAATCCTGCAAAGTGTCAGATATAGTGCTGGAAGATGAGCCCCTAGGTTGGAAGGTGCTCAAAATACAAATGGCCACAGCAATGGGCTCCAGCATTCCGATGATCATGAAGATGGCACAGGATCAGGCAGCGTTTTTGCTCTGTTGTACATGAGGTTGCCATGCATTGGAGCTGATTCAACAGCAGCTATTAGATGGATGAATAAATGTTTGAATTAATAAGTGACAGTGAGCTCCTCAAGAGTGGTGGACTTTGTCTTGTTCATTTTTGAACCCTGGCCTAGAACAGGCCAATGTATAGTATATGTACCTGGCAATTCCCTGGTACAATCTGATTCCACAGATTGGCTTCTACCCTGTAGTCCAGCTTTTGGGGGGAAACTGTAGGCCATTGGAAAGGACTATGAGAACTCTACTTACTTCTATTCCAATTGTAAAAGGGTTCACATCTTCCCCTACTGGACCCCTGGATGCTTTCAATATTCCCAATTATTTTGTGACAGCTTGAGTTAGGACACTGGCCTACCCAAGTTCCAAAATGGTTATTTATGAGATGTTACTAACTACTTACACTGCCTGCCTCAATGGTGGATCCTAAAATACTTTTGTCAACACTGGTGGCTTTGTAATGTGTCAATATGACTAGACTAAACTATAGGAAAGGAGCTCTGGTAGCATAGTGGCTAAGGCACTTGACTGCTAACCAGAAGGCTGGAGGTTCAAACCCACCAGCCACTCCTC